AGTTTCCAGAAATGAAATAGTCAATTTTTAGAGAATTACATGGATATGGTTTGCTATACAATTTACACAAATATCACACATATTCTGAAGTTTTAATGATATTTACTTTGCCGTGCTCAACAATAAGGTAATATTCGGGATTCAATAGCCATTTTAACATATAAGTCCATCCTAAATATTCAATGATTCTATAGCTCTGCCGATGTAATACTATAAAAGCAACTATATATGATACAAGAGATAATCGATTATTTAGCTGTTCTTTTTTTTTTTCTGCCCAGATGTTAGAAAGATAATGATTAAATAAGATAGGAGAATTCTGATAATGTGCATGCACATCTTTAGCTTGAATTTTTTGGCCAAAATAATCTACATATCGATTATTAGAAATTCTTATATGATGAGGAGTTATACCTAAAAACTTCTTCTTGTCAGGAGTATTATCATTTTTCAAACTCAACTTGTCCATGTCTCGAGTCTTAACTTGTAAGTCCTCCAAGCCTGTTGAAGAACCGTTATACTTTTAATTATGCAAACTACAATTCTTTTTTTAAGTTCATTTTTATTTGAATGTTTATAATCATAATAGCTCAAGCCTTTACTATACATAAAATAATATCTCTCATATATCTTATTAACAATATCAATGCTAAGTGATGATGCTCCCCCCTCTTTTTTCACATTCTTTTGTACAGGATTAGAATGCATATTAGTGGTTTCAGTAATACATTTCTTTAGATGATCATTTGCACATTCAATTGTATTTTTGCGAATAATTACTAAGAAGTCGCATACAGTGCAATAAATATAAACTGAACGCTCTTTATATGCTTTTTTAATCTTTTGAATGAATCCATTCTTGGAGAAGTATTTTGAGTTATGTTCGAGAAGTTTTTTAAATAGACAACAAATACGAGAACACCACATTTCTGGTGTTTTATCGCTATAACTATATTGCAGATTGTTTAACGCCTGCACTACTCCAAGATTTAAACTAGAATAGAAGTTAGTTTTAACTATTTTTTTACTCTTTTTAGTTTATAGCTGACTCTAGTGATTTATAGTATTTTTTAGCAATTTATAGCGTTTTTAGCAATTTATAACGTTTTTAGTGATTCTTTATCAACCTATATTAAGGAATATCACGATTCAAATTTGTAGCCAAAAACAAAAAAAATGTAAGTAATTATTATTATACACTTTATAGATTTTTATTTCTTTCTTGCATATATTGCAAGTAAATATTAATATATAAATTACATTACTCAATTGTGATCTCAAGAATAGCATTAGGAAAATGGTGGAGTTGATATTGAAATTATGAATTGGCTTGGATACTTTTTTCCTTGTGCTTCTGCCTTGCCTCTATCTCTTTTTGTAGGTTCAATGGTGTGTCAAACCTTAGTCGAATGGCAAGAGGATCATCCTCCGGTCTACTGAGTTCAAATACAACAAACTCACCTTGACGGAGGTAGCTATTAATAACCATAGATGCACCCTTTACATCATTAGTATATCGTTCAACAATTTTGAAGATATCGTGAGTGCTACTACCGCCATTAAATATTACTAAATGGGAGATATTTTCTTAAATAATAATGAAAACTTTATGATAATGTTGTATTATATAAATAGGTAAAATATTTCTGTGACGCCCGTGAGTAAAGAAAGGTATAATTTGATTTTGTATATACTTTGGGGCAACACACAAATCCTCAAAAATAATAACAGTGCTTCTTTCTGATGAGAATGATTTCACGTTTGGAATCTTTTCAGGAGGAATATAGCTAAACCAAATATTCTCATAATATGGTGCTCTTGGATCTTTTGAAATTACGCCATACATATATCTTACAAATGCCTATTTTGGTTTGTCAGAATGGTAACCACATACTATCAAATCATCACATTAATATATCTCATTCCTCCTTTCCATCTTTTGTATATATGCTCACTCTTATCCCCTAAGAACAAATTTGCTAGTAAATTAGTCTTATCTGTACCACTTCTTCCGCTGACTATCTTGCTGAAAGGCCATGTCATTGTTGGATGTCCGACATTTCTGTTTGTCTGACATACTTTTGCTATTGCTTTATTTACTATTTCTTCAATTTTTGTAGAATTGTGTGGACAGGTAAGCATGTGGATTATATCTTCTAGTATTTGAGAGCATTTTGCACAAGATATGTTGATAGGTTTCTAAAATATAGGTGAAGATAGGTTAGTAATTCAGAAATTATTAATTTTACTTTAAACGTTTTTAGTGTTAATTTAGTTGGACATGTATTGCGACTAAGTGGAACATTTTGGTAGTTTAGATAATCTAGAGTTAATTTCTAGTGAATGTTTAAACTTTTCTGTATTGTTGATTAGATACGGTTTTGTTCGTTCCATTTGATGGTGGCTTTGGCTTTTTGTATAATTTTGGGTATTTGGTGAATGGAGTAGGTTGT